GTGTGTCCACTGCCCCTCACACAGCCGGCCACTTGGAGCTCTACTTTCTCGCCAGCAAGGGCGTGGACGCGGCCTCCTGGGCCTTGTTCCGCCTTTGCAGATGCATGTGTGTGTGGGTGGGGCGGGGGAGGCAATTAGGACCAGGAGGCGGGTGCGTGCTCTGGGGGTCACGAGGTCAGCGAGGCCTAGGTGCACCGGACACGCAGGGGCCGCCGCCCAGCTGTTGGGGCCAGCAGGGAGCCGCGGTGGCCACCTGCCCCCGGGGTAGCTGGGAGCCGGCGCTGCTCCGTGGCACTCTGCTCTCCCCACCCCAGGAGGCGCTGTTTGTCAAACTTGGCCGCCTTGGCAGGAGGCGCCTGCCTGAATGTTCTCACCGGGAGAATTGTTCCCTTTGCAGTCCTTGGGTCTGGGCTCAGGAACCTTAGCCTCACAGAACGATGGAGGGTGGGTGTGTGTGGGACCCTTCAGCGTCTGCATTTTACCTGTGAATCCTGCCAGGCCTCCCACCTCCCAGCACAGGAGAGAGGAGGCCGCTGGTGCTCCCCATGCATTCGGGGCACGGTGCCCAGTTACTTGCCTCTCAGAGTGAGCGGGACTCCGGCCTGGCTTGGGTTCAGTCACCACATGTCTCTGGAGGGCCCCTTAGCCTCCGTCTCAGCGCAGAGAGCGAAGGCGCCTTCCCTGGGCCTGACAAACCCACCCGAACCTGAACCTGGCCTCCCCACCTTTGTGCGAAACTTCACAGGTTGGGGTGGCCTGATGCGGAGCCCTTGCTTGCCCGGCCCACCCGACCCACGGGCAGCGTGACCCCGCGATGCAAGGCAGAGCTTGGGGCCCGCATCACTGACCCGGGGCGGGCAGGGTTTGCCAGTGTGTGGCTGTTCCACCCTCTCCTGCAATTCACTGCACTTTCCAGGTGCCTCCTCCTGGGATTTCCTTCTTCTCGGCTCTCCTGGTCCTATGGCCTCCTTCCCTCCAGGGCCCGAGGTCAGTCTGGCTAAGGGTTTGGGGTTCTTCCTCTGGCCTCCGCCTGTGCTTGGCGCCGGCCCGGACCCCAGGCGGGAGCCAGGCTGGAGGCCGGTAGCCGCGCGGTATGACCATGACCCCCGGGCGCGGAGGACGTGGGGGCGGGCCGCGCCTGCAGCTCCGCACTGGCCGGGAGAGCGAGAACCGCCGGCCTTAGGCGCATTTGCTCGCACCGGTTCCCAGCACTCCGAGTGGCCTGGCCGCGCAGCCTGGGCCTGAAGCCACCAGCCCTCGGAGGGCCCCGCGCCTGTCCATGCCCGCGCACCCCCGGCCCAGGCTTCTCCTCGCCGGAAATGCACTTCATTACACTTTGGAAGGCTGGTAGGACGCTCGCAGGCTCCCCGGGCTCTGCTGCGAGCAGGAAGGGGTGCCCAGGAGTGCCTTGGATGCTGGGTGGGCTCTGCGCCCGGCCCTGCACCCCAGGAGCCCAAGTTGGCTGAAATTTCTGGGGGGCTCAGAGGCCGGAACCAGCCGGGCTCCCGCTCTCCAGGCCCAGCACCACTCAGCTGTGTTGGACCCGGGACCGAGGAGGTGCGATGGGGCAGTCCATGCCTGGCAGGGGCGGAACAGCCCCTGCCCTTGGATGGGAATTGGGCGCGGGTGGAGGGGCTTGGTGAGCCCGGCAGCGGGGGAGGACTAGCATGGCGTGACTGTCAGGGAGGCCGGGCTGAGCCGGAGTGCGGGCGCCGCACGGCTGTACCGACCAGCCCGGCCTTGGCGGGTGCCCTGAGAAGTGGCCGGGCGCTGCCAGGGCTCTGCGCCCTGCGTGCTGCTCCCCGAGCAGGACTCCATAGCCGGCAGGCGCCGTCTCTCTGAGGTCACTGCCTGCTCCCGCATGATGTGGGGAGGACAGCTGGGCACTGGCCATCTGACTGACTCCGGCGTGACATCTGGGAGCCCACTGGTGTGTGGCACGCGAAGCGCTGGATGCCGCTATTTAAATGCAAATGTGAGGGGGCTCATTGAAGCCTCTCCCTGTAAATCCGCACAAAAGGAATACTTCCCACCCTCCGAGGAGGAGGCGGTGGGGCGGCGTAAGGGCCACCAGTGCAAATCACGTTGAGCCGGGCCTCCAGCCATAGTCGCCAGGGCTTGGGGGTTCCCAGTGAAGGTCAGGCCCCACCCAGGGGGCCCCTGGGAGCGCTCTGGGAGTGGAGGCTGGACCTGCAGCCTCGGAGAACCTGCGCAGCTTCCAGAGTGTCAGCCTGCCCTTCCCTTGGCTTCCCCTACCTGGGTACTTGGTGCCCCTTAGTTCCCTGGAGAGGGAGAGGGGACGGGGTAGGGCTCCCGCAGGTGGGGGCTGGGCTCAGGGGCACTCCAGTCTCCCTCAAGACTTCCAGGAATTGATCTGCAGCCCCTCCCCCTGCTTAGGGGCCTGGGTGCTGGGTCCCTTGCACCTCTCCAAAGCTGCTCGCACCCTACCAAAGCGAAAATCCGGGGCAGGGTCAGGTGGGGGCCCAGAAGGCCGCCCTCCCAGGCCGCTTTACAGCAGGCCCGTGCAGACCCTGCCCAGGCGGCCAGTCCTTGTGCTCACAGCGCGGAGCCAGCAGTGGAGTGACAAAAAAGATAAAGTTGGTGAATGATAAAGACCGTATTTTCCACGCTTTGGGTGCGGGACCAGATGATCTAGAAAATGAGCTGAAATGGATTCAGCCTCTGAGCCTGTTGTGAGAGCAGCTGATTCCCCCATTTCGGGCCAGATGGCTGCTGAACACAGATTTGCATTCATTTTCGCTTAATATCGTCCAAAACAGTGGGGCAGCTGCATTTGTTGTCAAAAAGGTTTAAAACCCCTTTTCTTTCTGGGGCAGGATCGTTACCTTATGCGATGGGCTTATGGAACTTTTTTTCCCCTCCCTCTTTAGTCAACAGTATCAGATTTAGAAGGATTTGTTTTTAAACCTTCTAATTTGGTAATCAGATTTAAATCGCCTTGGCGCGTGTAATCTGAATTAAAGATACTGTAAATGATTTTAAGCATGATACTTTTCGTTAGTGCGAGGAAGGGGGCACCTCCAGTCGGGGCTGGGCATTTTAGGAAGTGTGCGACAAAGGAAGTATTGTTTCCTATTTCCAACTTCATCTTTCCCCAAAAAGGCATTTTGCAGAGCCTGACAATAACGCCGGCCTGGCCCGTCAGCCGCCTTGCGGGAGCCCCCAGCAGCTCAGCACGCGGAGACAAAGCCACTTCTCAACCCCACCCTCCCCCGATGGCCAACTTTATGCCCTGTTGTCTCTCCGGGAAGACCGTGTTCCCGGCTACACCCGGGCTGCTGTGGGTGGAAAGCTCGGGGCTGATTAGGAATACAGAAATTTTCTTTTAATTTATCGTGAATAGTTTCCATACACTTTGATTTAAGGTTATTAACATTCTATAGACAGTGGCATCTTTAATATGTGGCGATCGCTTCTAAAGACTAATCTCATTACCCTCAAATAGTCATAAAATATGATTTTATTATACTTACGTATTTAATTAGACGACCAGCACCGTAATGGATTTTGAGATGGGACCGGCGCAACAGCTTTGATAATTCACTTATCTTTGGCAATAGTCATTAACCCCCAACACCAGCAAAATAGATTGCTTTCCAACACATCTTTTTTTTCCCCCCTCACCCCTTCCAAGCGGCGTGGGGGTCCCCAGACAATGTAAATCGGACTTCGATTTTCCCGATTAATTAAAATATTAATGTACACACGCGGCCAATTCATAAAAAAGGGAGCGTTACTCCAGACCGGGGGAAGAGGCTGCCCTGCGACACCCTTGCGCCCTGGAACCTGTTTTGGTTTTGTTTGTTTTAATCAAAAGGGCCTGATTCCTCTTGGCAGGAAAGTGCCAGGGCAGCTCTTGGTGGTCCCCGGGGTCTGCAATCGGTGTCCCGCAGACGTCCTTTGGGCGGGCGGGGCGCCTGGGCTCCGAGTCCCTGCTGCTGGAGCCTGGCCGCTGGCCCGCGAGCTGTTGGCTCCCCACTCCCCGCTACCCTCCCGATTCCTCGAAACCAGGTCGGGAAGACGCGCGCCGCGCGCTTACCCGGGCCGGTGGCACCGAGGACGGGACCCGAGCGCCCGTGGCGTCCACTGGGCTTTTAGAGAGGCCGGCGCCAGGGAGGGCTGGGCACCGCGCAGGGCGCGCCGCCGGACACCCGGCTCCAGGTCGCCCTAGAGCCCGGCGCGCTTCCTGCCAGCCCGAGCGCCCGGAGCCTTCTTTGTTACTCGCCGCGGCTAAGGACAGGCCGGGGGCCGGGGTCTCCCGTGGCCACCAGGAAAGAGAGAGCATCTGGCAGAGTCCGCCTCCGACGTGGGCCCCAGCCCGGCATTCGGCGGCCTCCCCGGCAGCAAACACTGGCGTCTGGCGAGGCCCAGACGGGGGCGGGCCGGCCCCCTCCAGCAGCCTCAGGTCTGCGTGGAAACCAGGCTGAGCTCGGCCCCGCCTAGGCTGGGCGCCCTGCTCCCCCCACTGCCGCCCCCAGCCCTTCGCTGGCCCCTCCAGCTGCCTCCCTGCGGCCTGCTCGCCTCTTCTCACTTTCCCCTTTTCTCTTCGGGCCGCCCCAGAGGGAGCTGCGGCCCCTTGCATTTATGGCATGCATTTGGACAACTCGGGGTGCCTGGGCATGTTACCCCCTCCTTTCCACCGTGTTCTGACTGTCTCTCTGAATCGGGGAGGAGGAATTAGGGGGGCCAGGCTGCCATCGTGCACTGGTTGTTTCATTTCAAGATTTATTTGGGCGAGTAGGAACTTCCCAGGCTGCGGGTGGGCGCGAGGAGCCGCGGCGTGTAGCCCGGGGCGGCCGCGGCGCTGGGTGGCGCTCGGCGGCGGCGGGGCTCGCGGGGCTCGCGGGGCTCGGGCCGGCTCGCGGCGCCGTCAGGCAGTCAGTCGGCGAGCGCGGCGGCGGCGGCGAGGGGCGCGGCGAGGGGCGGCCGCTCCCATATATGGCGCAGGCACCGCCCCCCGACGTCACCTTCTGACAGCGCGGCTCCCGGGGGCTTCGAGTTTTGGCTCCCGGGAAAGGGTCCATTCCTCGGGGAGAGAGGGCTGAGTTTTGTGCGCCTCCGTCCGCTGCGCGCGCCGCTCCAGGCCCCGCCGCGCCCCGCCTGCGCCCGGGACTGCGCCGCGGCACTCACTGCCCCGTTTATTTGTCTTTGGAGCAGGCGGGCCGCGCCAGAAGCGGACGATCCCGCAGTGTCCTGCAGCCGCGGACGCCGCCCGGCTAGGATGACACCACGTTGAGCGCGCCTGCAAACAACAACAACAACAGCCAGCGCCGCGGCCGCGCGTCCTGTTTCTCCCGCTTCTCCGGGGCGCCGCGCCGCCACCGGTGTCGCCGCCCCCGCGCCCCCCGGCCGTCCGGAGCGCCCGGCCGCCGGTGTATGTCGTGCCTGCCCGGGACGGGCTGAAGCCGGCGGCGGGCCGGACCGCAGGCGCCGAGCAGGGCCAGCGCGGCCAGGGCAGACGCCTGCCGCCGAGCCCCGAGCGCCGCTGCTCGCGGAAGCGCTGTCGGCCGGGCGCTGCGGCCGCCGCCAGCAGTTTTCATGTTTGGGATTCAGGAGAATATTCCGCGCGGGGGGACGACCATGAAGGAGGAGCCGCTGGGCAGCGGCATGAACCCGGTGCGCTCGTGGATGCACACGGCGGGGGTGGTGGACGCCAACACGGCCGCCCAGAGGTACGTACCGGCCGGCCCCGCGCGCCCCGGCCCCGCCGCGGCCCCGCCGCTGGCCGGCGCCGCGCTGCTCACCGGGCCGCTGTCTCTTTCCTCCCGCAGCGGCGTGGGGCTGGCGCGGGCGCACTTCGAGAAGCAGCCGCCCTCCAACCTCCGGAAATCCAATTTCTTCCACTTCGTGCTGGCGCTCTACGACAGGCAGGGGCAGCCGGTGGAGATCGAAAGGACCGCTTTTGTGGACTTTGTGGAGAAAGAGAAAGTAAGTGCGAGCGCACGATCACACCCTCCATCTTTCCAGAAGTGGGAGGCAGGCGGTGCCCGGCGCGGTGGCGCGGAGAGCCCCCTCGGCGGCGGGGACGGCTCCGCCAGGCGCCCCCGCCGCCACGTGCGCCCGCCGGCCCGCGGAGGGCTGCGCGACTGCCGCGCGCCCCCGGACTCACGCGGGGCCAGGAGGGCGCGGGCTGCTAGCAGGACAGTGACATCACCGCGCCGCTCCGAGTAGGAATCCTGCGCTGCGTGAGGCCGGGGGGCCTCGGTCGTGCAGGGGGACCGAGCGCGGTGGCCGCGCGGACGCCGGCCGCACTAAATGCAATTATTTGTCGTTACTTTCAGGAGCCCAACAACGAGAAAACCAACAACGGCATCCACTATAAACTCCAGCTGTTGTACAGCAATGGTAAGTGGCCGCTGCCGCTGCCTCCCCGCCCCTGCCCGGCTCCCTCGCTCTCTCCTTGCCCGAGATGCTTAAAGGACATAAAGATTTTGAGATTAAAATGACATGGATGTAAACACGAAATCTTCTCATGGCATAGAAGGAAAACAAAACATAAACGATCAATAAGTCGATGGCACTTCACATGATTAACCGGTAGGGCTTGAAGTAGAAAGTAAAAAGCAGGTCGATAGGCGCTCCAGCTGAACATCACTTCTAAGTGACTTTTTTCAATTTTGCAAATTAATGTTAATTATTGAGATGCGGGTGGCTCGGGTAAACCGGGCGTAACTTGCTGCCCGGGCTCCAGGTTCTTAAAAATCCTCGAGAGACATTAGAAAGAGTTCAGACTCTGTTTCCATATCTTGCTTTCTGTTTTCTAAAAATAAATGACCACATGGGCCTGTGGGTATGGCAGCCAGGCCTGCACTCAGCTGGGCACATTTCTTGCACCTTTCAAGGCAAACCCTGGGAGTCCTAAGGTTAATTAGGAAAAGAAAAAAAAAAGCGAGAAGCGATTGGGGTTTTCTTTCTTGCCTTTTAAAAGGCCAAGCCTTAAGTTTGCTGCATCATGTGGCTGCAGTCCCTGAGCCCTGGACTTCCTGTGCCCGGGTGCCCGTGCTAAACTGATGGGTACTTCTCTCTCTCTCTCTCTCTCTCTCTCTCTCTCTCTCTCTCTCTCTCTTGCAGGAGTGAGAACGGAGCAGGATCTGTATGTTCGCCTCATAGATTCCATGACCAAACAGGTGAGAAAGTTTAAGTGTCTGCATGAGTTTTCACTGCTCAGCTGGGCTTGTCCCGGGTTCAGAGACTAGCAGACTGACAAATGGATCTGTGTGTTTTTGTTTTTCACTTAGTTTCCTTGACATGCTAATGAGAATTCCATATTTATTGGAATAAATGAAGCAATTGGTGAAATAGTTTAGGTTGTCATTAGAACAGGACAGATATGCTTTATTAAATGGCTTGTGATGGGATTCAGATTCTCTCTTAATTAATTATGGTAATTAATATTTGACAGAAAAATTCCAAGATGCCTCTTTCTGTGTATTTTTAAACGCGTGTTTTTGTTTTGTTTTTTGTTTCTCTCTCTCTCTCTCCTTGGAATCATTTCATTGATTTTTTTCTCCCTCTAACAATGGCAACTAACTCCTTCCCAAAGCCCAGGGAGTGGGGCTTGATGAGTTCACTCTTCCTCCTTTCCAGTGTGATGGTCTAGTAACACGAGACGTTTATTTGAATTTAAAAGTTAAATGTGTTGGGGTGAAAAGTCACCTTGTTCTCCTCTGGTCCATCTTCACCTCTCGGCCCCCCATCTCCATAATTCAAACTCCGAGCTCCAGGGGTCACCCAAACCCGCCCATTGCTCCGTGAGCCGCTCTGGCTCCTGCTCCCACCCTCTGTCATACCTTGTAAATAACATAATTACAAGCAGGTCCTTATTAAATTATTTAACCTGTCTTGGTCAACTTTTCCGAGGATAACTATTGGCTCTCGGAAATGTCATTAAGTGCAGAAAAGCACTTCCTTGCTTTTTGACGTTGTGCAGTTTCTGGCTGGGTTTGTGCTGGGTGGTACGTTGTTGTTCAGTTGTTTTAAAGATCCCCCCCCCCTTTTCTTAAAAATAGAGGTTGGGGGAGGGGCAGGTCCGATGTGTAAATTAAATCCACTTGGCACAGATTGATTTAAAATACAGTTCCAGGCCGGGCTTCAGGCTTGGAAATGAAAGTGGAGCCTGGGTTTCTGATGCGAACTTGAAGAATGCGAGCCAGTGAGAGCGCCTCCCGGCTTCTGCAGCCAGGCGCGCGTGCCTCCCGCTCTGCTCCCCAATTAGGTTTCTGATTTTACTTCCCCTCTAGAAAGTTTGTCCTTCCCTAGGCAGCCTGCGTGCTAGATTTTAATGTCTGCCGTGCAAAACAGCGCGGTTTTCTCTGAGAGTAAAACACAGATCTGATGCTAAACTCCGCTCTTTCTGACGAAGACAGGCTGTGTGCCCTTCGGTCATGTTTTCACTCGGATGCAGGGAAGCCTCTGGAGGTGCGGCTGCTGGTGGACGGGGTGCTTTTATTTCTTTGTATGTAAGGACTGATGTTTTCAGAGAGCGCTTCGGTGGGAGGCAGCGGTGGAGGTCGGCATCCCTAAGTTTTCCTGTTGTTTCGAGAGCAGGAGGGCTGGTTTCAAGTGCACTTTTATTGTTCATTTAGCCACGGACCTTTGCAGTATAAGCAGGGCTGGAAATAACGGCGTTTAATCTCCTCTCACTGACCGGATCGAGGGGGAAAAAGGAAAGAAATAGCCCAGTAACTGATCAAAGAGTCAATGGTGCTGAACCGACAGTTTATGGATTTCTGTTTGTGTTACAAAATAAAGAATAAATCAAATACAAATACGGGGCTCCATCCGAGGAGAAGCCGCGCTCTCTTGGAAGAGCTGGTGCCCGCTGCCCGCCCTGTGGCCCTGGGCGGCCCGCTGGCCTGCGGTGACACCGTGGTTTGGAGCAGGGTCCGGGGAGGCTGGGGGAGAGCGGCTCCCGGGGACCTGGCCCTCTTCCCAGAGGGAAGCCGGGTTTCCTCGGCAAAGGGCTTTGTCCGCCTGGAAGTGGAGGAGGGAGTCAGAAGTGCCCGAGGAGGTTGGAAGTAATTTCCAGATAATTGGGGGGTGGGGTGGGGGTGGCGGGAACTGGAGAGGGGACTCCCCTCCCCCTTCCGTGGAATTTTCAGCCGGGAACTTGCGGCTCCTGGCCCCCCCGCCCTCTGCCCCTCCTCCGGTGGCCTTTTCCCCCCTTCTTTCCTTTCCCCCTTTCTCCCCCTCCCCGCTGCGGGCGGTGGGGCCGGGGCGGCTGGCGCAGCGGCCCCAGCTCGGGTTCCCGGCGGGCGGAGCTGGTGAGCGCCGTGGTGAGCGCACCTAGGGCTGCGCACCATCTGGCAGAGCCTCTGTTCAAAACCTACCGGAGCGTGTGCGCAGACACTGCCTTCTTCCCCGAGAAAAATCCTTGTTAGCAGTTTCAAAATAAACACCAGATTGGCCATTAGCACTTTATTTCCAAATACCATCCCGCGAGGAGCACGTGGCCGCGCAGGGCTGGGCGCCTGGGGCCGGAGGAGCGCTCCTGCCCGGAGCCCCGGAGGCCCGGCCGGCGGCCACGTGAGGCTGCTGCGTCCCGGCCCCAGAGCGCCCACGGCGTGCAGAGCCGGCGGCCGGGGCGACTGGGCCGGCGGACGGCCCACCTCCGGAACCTGGGTTTGAACTCGGGCTCGGCTGGGCCCGGGGAGCGCACAGGGCTCCCGGCAAACTCCTGCCCCAGCCGGCTCGCCCTGCTTTAGTCACAGCTGTTCTCAGCGGCCTCTCCCAGCACACATTGGAATTTGATGTAGACAATGGCCCGAGGACGCGGCCCAGCGGCGGTGTGGGTCGCCGAGGGGCTGGGAGCCCGGTGTGCCTGGACCAAGGTGCCATGGCTCCCTGAACCCCCGCCTTGCCCCCACCCAGGAGACTGAAATCCTCTGGAGTTGAAAGCCCGAGCTGGCCTGGAGGGCGCCCGGGAGTGGAGGCCTCCTTGGCTGAGCCTTCCTCTGGGTGACCCGCCTGGAGGGTGGCCTGGGTGGGCCGTGCTGCCTCCCCCAGCCCTCTGTGCACCTGCCCGCCAGCTGGGCCTTGAGGCTGGGGCAACTGGACGCCAAAGCCAGGGCGCCGTGTAACGCCCGCCTCTGCATGTCCCCGTGCAGGCCATCGTCTATGAGGGCCAGGACAAGAACCCGGAGATGTGCCGTGTGCTGCTGACCCACGAGATCATGTGCAGGTGAGCGGCGGACGGGTGAGCGGCGGGTGGGTGGGTAGCCCTGGCGCCAGCTGCAGCCACAAAGGATGCGCAGTCCTGGCGCCTCCACCCGGCTTGGCTTTGGGATGGGGTTCGATTGAAATGTAATCGGCTGGCCGCAAGCCGCAGCCCAGGAGCCGGGCTCACTTCCCCCACGACAGCGACGATGGTCCCCGCAGCTGGCTGGCAGCTCAGCAGAGCCGATTAACGTGTTGGCCATGTCGCTGTGATACCAGAAATGCAAAGGGTCCTGGGTGATGCCTGTGTCCTCCGTGCGGAGGAGTTAGGGATCACTCCCAGGCACTTGACTGCTTCCTTCTGCAGCGCCGGCATCCTGAGCCGTGCCGGCGGCTGGTATTGATAAAAGGAAACTGTACTGTGACAGAGCCGAGCATGTGAGAATTGGACTGTGAGTCTGTCAGTGAACCTCTTCCCTGGTGCAGCCAGGCGCCCTTCTTCCCAGGGTTGTTAGGCTCCGCTTTCCTGAGATCCCTGTCACAAGAGCAATTCCCCTCCTGCTTTTTTTCTAACGACCACAAGAGTTTCTCCCCTTCACGCAAATAAAAATGCATCATTGGCTTTGTACGTGCGGCTTGTGAAATATCGTGGCGAGGAATGACAAGGACCTGCGAGCCTGCGACAGTAGCGGGCCGCTGGCTCTGCGGGGCGGGCTCTGCCTGGCTGCGGTGCCGGCTGCCTCCATGCCATTTCTGAGCAGACATATTGTTACAGCACTAATATACAAAAGCTGACTTTTTCTCATATCAGGTAATAAATATAAATTACAACCAATAAAGTGGAATTTCTTTATTATCCACTTCTGCATGTACTGCAATTAACATAGAAAGCGCACAGATGTGATTTAAGCTCTAAGTGGAAGACTGTAGACTTTCTTTAATCACTTTAGCTGTCAGCTTTAAAAGGCTTTATATACTTTGCCTACCATATGGTGTTAATTTAGCTAATTTAGACATGTAACCATTATACAAGTATGCTTTTTTAAAATGCAAGAAGCATAACATTTTTGTTTCATTTCTGCTTTAATTAAAGTTTCAATAACAGCGTTAAGGTAGGCTTAAAGAAGGAACAATGGAAGTTTCTGATAGATGGATGCATGCTTTTGTGGTTATAATTAATAAATGCCCCAAAGAAATATTGGTTGAAGGTGGCATCTTGCATCTTTTCCAGAAATAACAGCTTGACAATTAGAGGTAAACAAAGCTGAAGCTGTGAAAAGTTATTCCCAAGCCTCCTGCCTCTCCTTCTCCTCAGTTCACTGCAAAGACAAACAGGGCAACATGTTTTCCATATTTTAGCATCACAATTTAGGTGGTAGCTCTGTTACCCTCCTCCTAGGAACAGATCTGTTCAACTCTGCTCCTTCCTGTAGAAAGTTACACCTTAAGTTTAGTCACAGAGCACATGAACCCACTGGGTTGAAAATTGCCAGTCTGCCTGGGTAGGATAACTTATTTTGTCGACTCCAGCCGCTTGACTGTCAGGCTTAAAAAAAAAAAAATTACCAGTCGGGCATAAAAGGATGACATGCATATTAAAACCCCTGTTTACAATTACTCCACAGCCGGTGCTGTGACAAGAAAAGTTGTGGCAATAGAAACGAGACGCCCTCAGACCCCGTAATCATTGACAGGTAAGGATGACTTCTTTATTTTTTTCAAAACAAAACCGCAGCCCCCGCCCCCCGCCCCAGCCTGTGCCTGGCTGGGTTTGCAGTGGCTCCCTGTCTGTGGGGCTGGGGCTGAGCTCCGTGCGCGTTGCCGTTTGTTGTCCGCGTGTGTTATCACGCACAGGTGGGTTGACTTGGAAACCTGGAGGCTGGCTCTGTGGGGATTCGGTAATTGCTTTCGAGTTGTCAAGGGAAGCAGTTTCATCTGCCACCGCTCTCACTGTGAGGAGCACTTTATGCCTAGAGAGTTTCTGGCTTTAAACCCAGAGATATGTCATAAAATGCTTTTTGCTAATTTGTTAACAAGTATTTCATTTTTGCATTAATTTTTTTTTTTCAATCTCGGATGATGATAGCCGAAGTTGAGACTTGGGTGGTGTTACTGTTGTAATTGTTGCCCAGTGTTAGAATGAATTTAATCTGCTCTCAATTAGTTGCAAAATGTCTCCTAATTTTTTTCCAATTGTGGCTGTCGTTTTATGTCAAGTAGCAAATATGTAACTAACAAACCAAAGTTGTTATAATTGAAACTAATTACACATGCTGGTTACATTTTCCAACATTAATATCCATCACTAGATGAGCTGTATGCATTCTTTACATTTGCTGCTCTTCATCTTGCTATTTATCATGTTCCTTGGGCCACATTGCATCCTTTAAAGCTACTAATCATCAGCCCTAATCGTGTTAATGTGCGTTTGCTGTTGCTTTAGCTGAAACAACAAATACACTACCCCCCTGCCCTCCTCCGGAGCACCCCCCCCCCGCCCCCCCATCGCTGGGTTTCTGTGCCCTGGAGGAGGGAGGCTTTCTTTCTCCCAACAATGGGGAACAACAGCCAGAGGCCCAGGGTGTGATGGGCTGGGGGTTTTTTGAAACTGGTACCCAAATCGAATAAATGCTAGACGTGTACATATGACTCCAGTTTTGTGAAGCAGAGGTTTAGGCCGTTTTGAAGAGGGGTTGGATTTCAGCAGCTTTCAGGACAAAGTTATCTTTTGATCATGAACTTTGGCTGTCCAGTGTCTGAAAAATTAAACCCGGAAAACTCCATGAGTTAAGCCCGAGGAAATGTGGGCCTCCAGTGGAGAGCAATGCTAATGTTGAACTAGCTGGGATCGCTGTTTGCTTAGTGGGGAATGCTCGGTATCTGACAGAAGGGACGGCTCTTATTAGTAATCAAATAGGGCGGACCAGTTGTGGCCGTCACTCAGGCCGCGAGAGCAAGTTCAACACTTTGTCCAACTCCAGCTACAGAAATCAATAGCATCATATTTGTCTTTAGTGCGGTGGCCATGGAAATCTTCCAGCCTCAGGGTTGTTGGGCTCGTACCTGAATTTATTTTGTTTTCCGTGATTGGCTAGAAGTGTTTGAGCAGCTCTTGGCATCTTGTCTGACTGTAGGATGCTTGAAAAGGCAGCGCGTGCGTCTGCTCCTCACACAGCGGTGCGAAGTGCTTCATCTTCTGAGTGGTCTTCCATTTGTGATATTTGTACATTTAAAAAGCTGGCTTGTTTCCACGGCCTGAGGTTTTCAGCACAGCGCAGTGATCGAGTAGCCGCGTTGATTCAACCGATGTTTCGGGCGCCCTGTGTCCCCTGCAGAATCACTTTGGGGTTTGTGTAACAGCCCATCACGTATCGACTCTTGAATAACCTTTAATACTCAGTTTTATCACAGGATGGGAAATGTCTTCTCCCGCATGTGCAGAAATATACGCGTGAATTCTTGTCTGAGCGAATGCCTTCTTATCTTTGGTTAATTAAAATATGTGCTAAGATTACTGATACCTCTCTGACCTAGAGAAGTGTGCGATCATTTGATATGCTGGAAGCAGGAGAGGAGGGGAAAATGTAGAAACATTTGGTTAATGGGTTTACCAAGTTTATTTGAATAAGGAGGATTGCAGCTCCATTTGCGCCTGGCGTCAATGCTTTGGAGATCTTAATTATTGATGAAAATCTGCTCTGCTTCTAAATTCAAAGATATGGCAATTTTATAGGAATTTTAATCACCTTCCACGTGAGGGATGTTGAGGTAAGGGCAGTTCTACGGGATGACAAATAGGGTGTGCGTTTTTTACCATTCTTAAGAGAGCTGTCACTTGTAATGACAAAAGACTATTCGCATTTGGTTGCTTGATGTCAATCCGTGTGTGATGATTGCAGTTATTGGCACAACCTTCCGTTTAAGGCAGAGTTCTAGGGGGAAAATGAAGAATTCAGTGTTTACTAAGGCAAGTTGTGTGAATCAGAGAAAGAAAAATGCCTGTGGGAGGGGACTGTCCTTCGTGCGGTGCAGCCTTTTGCAGCTGAAAGGCGTTTCAGTTTCATAATGATCATTTCTGTGGCGTGCGCGCTGCCTCTGAAAACTGGTTGCTCCTGTGGAGCCTCTAGCCCGCGTTTCCCCTGGGGGGGCCGCTGCATGGAACCCCGCACCGGGCTGGGGAGCCGGTCCGCAGGTCCCCACCAGCGCTGTCATGACTTGGTTAGTTGGCTTAAGAAAGAATTAGATGCAACGTGCTTCGCAGGCTCCGTGTGGCCTTTGGACACACTCAGCAGCTCCTGCCCAGATAAGGCCTATTTGTCCTGAGGATATAAACCAATAATTCCAACCTGAATTGAGATCAATGGGCCCACGTTTGCTCTAACCCACGCGGAGGCTCTGCCGCAGGCCGCGCGCCTGCGCCGCTGGGCGATGAGAACAGAGAAGTCGGCTCCCGGCTCCGGCAGGCAAATCGCATTCTATAGACTCTGACGCCTTAAATCAATTAATTACACAATTTGGCTCAGCTATCTTTCAGAAGCATTAAACACTCACCAGCAGCACGGAGGACCCTCCGCGTGGAAAGGGGGGAAGCGTGAGGCTGTTTTTGCGTGGGGAAACCCTGTTGTTGTGAAGGCTTCACTTACCTGAACTGTCTTCTTCCTCATAAAATAACGCCAGAGAAACCGTCGTTTATGGCTCCGCAAATATAATTACACCACCGCGGGTTTAGGAGAACACAGCAGCTCACGGGGTGGAGGAGAAACGTGACGTTATAAAGTAAAAGCATGGCCAGTGAAGAGCTACGATGGCAGAAAGCTTGTATGTGGCTGTAGTGACCTGCAGAGCCAGAAGCAGGGGTGGGGGAGCACGTGTGTGTGTGTGTGTGTGTGTGTACACACCATGTGCACGTCCCCACATACACGCATGTGCGTGTATATGTGTGTGTACACACACACACACACACGCACACGCGTAGTGTTCTACGGTATTCTGAAAGGGACGGGGTATCGTTTTCCTCGTGGAATAATGTTTTCTGGGAAAACACAAAAGCAGATGGTCTCCATTAGGGACACCCATTGTCCACACCGCCCAGCTATGGACAGATGAATCTCTCCCGTCTCACCCGTGCATTCCAAAGGCTGTGAATGATTACAGGATGTCGGTGTAGCTGCTAAACCAAAACCACACTTCGGCTGTCGTCCTCTCATGCCATCTCATCCCGGGGTGTCGCCTGAGGCCCCGTGGACATGCCCGGGGAGGCGCGTGCTCTTACCTCCGTCCCTAACCGGCCCAGTGGGTTGGGGCTCAGGGTCCAACTGTTGCGACCGGGCAGGCAGACTTCGGGGCGGCAGGAGCCGGGTGCTGGGACATCCGAGCGGCCGGGTCGGTCGCACACGGGGCCCCGTGCAGCGCCCGGAGGGAGCGTGCTCGGCGGGGAGGTTCCAGATGGCACGGTCTCAGGCGTCTCACGCGCTGGCATCTCTGTGGCAGTGGGGCCCCCTCCCCAGCAAACCTGGCATTGGTCTATGGAGTTCGGGAGACTTATCATTCCAAGTCTGTCCTACTTTGCTGTCTGGAAGCCAGACATCTGTTTATTCCATTTTCTTTCATACAGAGTTTGGAATAGCTCTAGTTGGTGGGGGGGTGGGGGTGGGGGGAGGTGGGAGAGAAGCAAAGTTTTGTCATATTTAACAGCTGTTACAAAATTTCAACCCTGTGGGCTCTGAAAATACTTTTCAGCTGACCTCAGATTTTTATACATAACTGACATAGGGTTGCAGAAAAATATTATTGACTTAACCTTTCATTGTCTGCGATTTCACGTTGTCCTCCGTCACAGGCCCAAACCCCAACCTTTTTAACTCCACACACACCCCCCGCCCGCACCCCCCAACACCGCTGCTCCGATTCATTTACGAGTTTGAAGTTTACACCTTTAAAACGATTGCAGAACGGTAGCTGAAGACCCATCGGAGATTTTCTTTCTTTCTTTCTTTCCTTTTTTTTTTTTTTTTAGTCAACAGTGTTTCCTTTCACTTCCTGTCACAAAGGTCAAAGAGAGCGACCTTTGCTGGCAGTCGTCCCACTGAATTATTCATGGCATTGACTTTTGTCAGCACACACAGTTGTGCTCTGGGACGCTTTATTCATTTACCTCATTTAAAGCGCCTTTCTGCACCTGTTCAAGTATTAATATCATGTAATTTGGGCCTAATGCCGATTTTGCTGAACACTCATTATATTTTTTATTAGCTATATTTCCAAACGATTATGTATGATTATTACCAAGCCTTACAAACAGCACCGGGCTATTCCCTAGCCCCTTCCATCTTCTTGTCAGGTTGTTTTCGGAAGCGGGGAGGATAAACATTTGACCAGTCCCAATGTTTTCATTCCACTCCATCTCCAAGCACAGAACTTAAAGCTCCCTCCCTCATGGCTTTGCACGAGCGTGATTAAATCCAACTCCGAGGGAGCTGTACAAATGCCAGCATTTATAAGGTCAACGCTTTTGTTAAAAACGCTATGTAAATGAGGATCTGCAAAAAGGGACATTAAATAAAATTAAATTCATTGTCTTCTTTAATGTCATTTACATTTTGGCTAAGCCCCGGCCTGTCAAGGAGGATTTTAAAAATAATTTTAATTACACACCATTTAGCCATCCGAGGTTTTCCTATTCAGCAGCGTTTGG